ATATATATATATATATATATATATGTATGTATGTATATATATAGTGGAAGTAATAATTCAATGGGCCAGTTAGTCTTCGTGAAGGTATGGGATATGGCACACTGGGAGCGTTGTCAACAAGGATAAATATATTTATTTCCCAACAGTTTCGGGAGGGGACCTCCCTTCATCAGGGGATGAGTTATCCCCTGATGAAGGGAGGTCCCCTCCCGAAACTGTTGGGAAATAAAAATATTTATCCTTGTTGACAACGCTCCCGTTGTGCCATATCCCATATATATATATATATATATATATATATATATATATATATATATATATATATATATATATATATATATATATATATATATATATTTGTTTATTTATTTACAAATACTGCAGGCCCTGTTCGGGCCCAAGCAGAAATGGGTAACAAATGTCAGTGAGAAAACAGAATATAAAAATATAAGAAAATACAATACTTGGTGCAAAAATAAGGAAATTCTCAACATCGGGGAAAATATAAATAATGCATAGCAATAATGGCATTCATACCGAAATACAGAAAATCTCAGTGCTAATGAGGAACATAATATATTGCATATTAAAAATCAAGTGTTAGGTCATTGACGAGATAGGCGAACGATTGTGTCGTGTCCGCATTAATGACCTCCTGAGGTAACTTGTTCCATAATGAATATATATATATATATATATATATATATATATATATATATATTGTTGGTGGTAGCTTTTGTAAGCTATTAGTACTAAATGTACTGAATATTTAGGGAAAACCATCGCAATTTTTTTACCAAGAATAAGTTCAGTTAACAATGATTTTTGACTGTAGAAAACTGCTACAAAACTAACTTGCCTTGCTCCAAAACGCACATTTTGGTGCTCCGAACCTGCTCCGAAACACAAAAGTCCACTTCCACTCCTGCTTGAGGGACGCCTGATGTAACTGGAAGGGGACTAGGTGTACGTCATCAATGTCAAACTGGGAGCAGTTAGCCAGAATTTTCTTGATCGAAGTTATTATGTCGTGATGTATGTTTACAGATCTAAGTTTCATCAGCAGCCACTTGTGAGGTGCTCTTTAGAACCCTTTCAAATAATCCAGAAATGTTCCGTCAGTCTTCTGTTTAGTGTCAAGCATAGTCTGAAAATCCTGGACAAAGAGGGCTAATTTGGTTTCGCAGGAGTAATCCCCACGAAACCCATGCTGCAAAAAGTTATTGCTGTTCAGAAAATAATAATGAGTGAGTAAATTATGTGTTCCATGATTTTGCAGGGTGCACTTGTTCAAGACGTGGGTCGATAGTTTAGGGGGCTATCTTTGTTACTTGATTTGAAGACCAGAGTGACCTTCCCTATCTTCCAGTGTGAAGTGACTCGAAAAATGTCAGCGACAAAATATCGAAAGAATGAATGTAGTCTTTTTAAGAATTTTCAGATTAATTTTATCGATACCCACGGAAGGAGATAGTTTAAACTTTTCAATAACAGACGGTATGCCTTCTGGGATAAAAATTTTAGGTGACACAGATGGCGCTGTACAATCTGGTAACACACATATAGGTTTGGATTGCAAAAACAGAAGGAAAAGCAGCACTGAACAGCTAAGCACTTTCAGTATTACACATTTCTTCACCCGCTTCAATTTTCAGTTCTACACTGTGCATCTGTTGCGGGTTAATGATTTCTCAGAATTTTCTGTGATTATGAGTTAGAATTTTGAGTAGGTCTGTGGGAAAAAATGAGTGCTTTGTGCTGTGTAACACGAGATTATATGCTTTTATAGTGTTTCTCATAGTGTTTCTCCCATTCATTAGAGCTGTGCTTCAACTTGGTGAATTGAAATGATAGTTTTTTTGTTTTTAATTTTTTCAAAGTTTTCATGAACCGTGGTTTCTGGCAAGATGCGCAAAATGAGGTTTACGGTTGTAACTTTCTAGCTGATTTGCCTAATTTTCTTTAGAAAACTTTTCAGTTGTCTTTGACTGATCAGTTTCAAAAAACTAGCTTCATAGTTCGGAAAAAAGCTTTGAATTTTATTGTTCGTTGCCTGGTAGTTTCTCTTATTGTACAAAGTGATAGTCTTTCGCTGCAGCTGGTGAGACAAGTGGTTGAAGTTGAAGACTGAGTGCATTACCTTATGATTACTAATTTTGTGTAGGTATGTACGGAAAATTAAACTTTCAGGGTGTGTTGTTTGTATCAAGTCTGGTATGTGTGTTGTTTTTCATGTCACCCGGGTTGCCTCTATTACCAGTTGTGTGAGGTTAAAGATAAGACAGGTATTGACGAATTACTATGTGTCTGTGCCGGTTCCTGATAACGTTGCTCTTCTTGCAAGTCAATGTCAGGATAGTTAAAGGAACTGAAAATTAGAACACGTACGTTCGGATTTTTTCAAATGAGACAGCTCAATATCTTTTAAATTTCTTTGGGAAATCGGGGCTGCTTTGCAGGGGTGGATGGCACATTTCAAGCTATTGGAAAGTTCCACACTATTGAAACATTTCTTTTGGAACATTTTACGTCAAGTTATTAGCGTGGAATGAATAAGAAGCCATAAACTTTCCAAGTGCGACGTAATGTCAATGACTGGGCATGACAGTATCTTGGTAGTCGCGATTAGTGCACCTCCCATACGGGCGCCTTTGCGATCGTTTTCAAAAATGTTGAAGTTCGGGAGATCAATCAGAATTTCATCATTTGTTACGTCACCTGCTGAAAGCTTGAATATACTGAAGCAGAATAATTATTGGGTGGGGAAGTGATTTTGTTCAAGAAGACATTAAATACCTATTTACTGAGTGATAATTACGTACATGAATAAAAAAATTACAAAAAATGAAGCGTTCAATTTTCAGGAATAAATGTACTTCAAAGAGATTAGGAAAAGCTTCTGATAGCAATGATAATAAAATAATTACAACAGCACCTACGGTTATGAAGAAAAAGGTACATAGATGTACAGCAAAATACATGGTCAGTGTATGGCCTACGCTGTCCTCTGGAGACTTCAACCATGACCAACATGCTCTCAGACTGGCATGGCTGGAGGCAAGACTTGGCCAGAAGCCATCAGTGTTTCCAGTCAAGTTCAAAAGTATTGATGCATGAGCGTGCAGAGAGCAGTGTGGTCAAGTCAGTCAGCCGGCACAGCAAAAGTACACTTTCTGCACCCAGTTTTGGCAAAACATTCCACCAATTTTATCCACTGTAGCCAATAGCCTGTGGTAGTGTTGTCTGCTAAAAGCAAACTTCACTTCCTTAATTTAATACACAAGCGAAACTTAGGCTGAATAATCATTTGTTCTATTTGAAAGTCTGTTGTATGCAGGTCCATTATAGTGAGTGGAGACTGTAGTGAACTGGTGCATGTGCTTTGCACGCTTACAAAAGTCATTGTGATGGAAACGTGGACAAAATTTTATGTACCTACATGTGATGATGCTGGATGCCCGAATGGCGTACGCCACTTGAGCTGCAGCAAAGAAACCTATGTGACTATCTACTGGGTGCCACGAAACGAACCTCTGCGCTCAAATAAGTTGCTGAGTGTCTTGCCTGTGCTCCAGTGTGCTAAACAGCCAAAAAATCTGTACGTGTGCTCGCGGCACTTTCGTGCGGAGGATCGACCACAACTTGGTCAAGGCTTACAATATTGCTTTTCGGAGCAGTGCTTTGCTGATACTAGTGTCAGCAGCTGCCTACTAGAAGCTGGCAACGTTGGGCAAAGCAACTGCTACGTCCGAAGGCCTGATCAAGCAGGTGATTTAAAGTGGGATACTGTCGTGTTGACCTCTGTAACAAGATTTTATTTTAAAATAAGCATTTCTTTTGCACTGAAGTGACACTATGAGGTTTCTGACTGCTATTCGAACAATAAACGTCGACTTGATATTTGCATTTAGCGGCCCTTTAAAAGTTCATTCGCACATGTGAATAGCACTGGCGATGTGACGAAGTTAATTGCAAATGGTTGAAAATGGCCACTTCGATCACAAAGCAACTATTTTGGCTCCTCAGTCACTCGCTGTTAGGTATTTTCAGTCGTGCAGCTGCAGTTACAAACTTCTAAACCAATCAGATGCGCAGAAACAGCATGTCAACCTTTATTGTGGGGTAATGGCAGGGGTAGTAGATGTGAATTCTGTGTTGCAACAGGTGTAAGCCACACTCAGGCGTCATCGTCGGTTGACACCTGTGTGTGGCTCAAAAAGACTCAAGGCAACTGACGTGTCAACGTGTGTTGCCTTGAGTCTTTGGCACCAGTTGCATAGTGTTGCATGTGTGAATGAGCCCTAAGATGTTTCAGCTTCTGCACAGAAACTAGGTTTACTTGCTTCCTACAGAAGCCAGAGCGTCCTAAAGTTTTTCAAAATTGTTTCATTTTCAGTCAGCCTTTTCTTGTGTTTACTTTTTTTCATTCTGCCTCCTCTTGACCAGACGAATCACCTTTGGAGCATCAATTTTAGTACCACTCATGAGGCCATGGTGGCAGGTTTATGGGGAAATATATACCGTATTCATTCTATATATAAATAGCATGATCTGTATGTAAGTTCTCTGCCTCTGGTTTTCAACTATAAAGTATGCTTTCTATCGAAAAATTTGTCTGCATACTGACTCGTTCAGACAGCTTTCGTAGTGATTCAGAAAAAAAAAAAAAAGGAAAGATTAGTGAATGAAGAACAGTCAAAGTTACAGCTGTGAGTCAAAGTTGCATCACTGTGTGCAATGCATAAGTTACACATTTCAATTGCAAAACTAAAGGTTAGCATCGTGTCCTATGTGTTTCTTGCTGTTTTCAGACATCTCGTTTGCACTAATTATTTATGTCTCAAGGCTACAATATTTACATACCTGCCCACCTTTTTTGTCCACATTTTAAAACAATGTTACTTATGGCAATGTTTCCCCATTTTCATAAGCAACTTTGCAACTCAACAAGGTTCTGCCTGCCCTGTTTTCTTGACACCTGTGTTCCACGATGCTTACAGGTGGCAACCTGTTCCGTAACAATGCGACGCGTGCCAGCCTGCAGGAGAAGTTACACTGCTTGGCCAACCGATATCCTGCCTTGAACAGCACACTTCCAGTAAGCACTCCTGTCACTTCGAAGGCTTGTTTTGGTTGAATGTTATGACCTGAAATTGCTATGGCTGACCATTGCCACGCAGGAGTTCAATGTGGTTCATTGTCCGCATATGCAGTGTTCCCTTCCTGTATGAGAGACTGTGTGTTGTTATTCTCCGAAGTCGCTAGTGTTTGCATAATGTAAAACAGTCATTGCTTTTAATCAAAACATGGAAAGTAGAAGGCTAGCTGATAGAGTTGTCCACAAGTTTTTCATGAATGGTGATAAACCATAGTGCATAGAATGAGCCCTTGACTTATTTATTTCTATCTAATTTATTTCTATCAAAAGATTGGAAATACAGGATGTGTCCCAAAAGTTCCCAAAACTTTTTTTTTGTAGTCAGCACATTGGATATGCCATACTTCTTAAAAGAGTGCACAGTCAAAGTTCCTAGGCTGCCGTTCCAGGCTGCAGCAGCAGCCCCTCGAGCGGTGCACATTTTTTAGTCCACTCCAAAGTCCCACCCGGCTTGAACATTGGATGACGACTCCACGGCTAGGACAACTTTCCTTTTACAAGTGGCACCATAATGACACCACCTGTTCGGTGCCATTGAGCTACGCCACACATGGACAACTCGAAGGGGAACTAGAAATGATTAACGGCTCACATCAACACTCGCCATAACAATCAAAATGGAAATGGCGGCCACATATGTGTACTTAAGTAAGCTGTTGGCTCGGCTACAAATGACTACAATACCGTCTAGGTGGCGCTGCTTTTGCACCACTTTTCTCAGTGAAAAATGGCACGTTTTTGAGAATTCTCGAATCTAAGCTGACCTTAGAGTTTAATACTTAGAAATAGGAAAAAAAATGAAACGAAATAAAAAAACTGTCAGCCTAGATTCGAATAAATTGGTAAGTCTGCAGGAAACTGTTGTGCAAAATTCCGTACATTTGAGCTGAAAAGGGAGTCGCACTGCACTGATTATTTCTGAGCTGCTGGCCAAAATGGGTGTGGGAGCGCCACTCCAACCACTCTACGACCTCGATCTGGCACCACCAAACTTCTCTCTGTCTCCAATGATGGAAAGAGCCCGAAAAGCACGGAACATGGACCGCTGCTGAAGACAGTAAAAGCATATGACGGTAAAGGCATCTTTAACAACTTTTTTGTAGGATGTTTTCATCTGTGGCTTCCAGGTTCCTTTCTATGGTTGGGTGAGGAGTTGGCAATGGTGCATTACACCACGGGAAAATACTTTGAAAAGCTCTGAAAAGATTGTAAAGTGATATATGATAAATTATTTTTAAAACAAAAATTCAGGAAACTTTGGGGGCAGACCCTGTATAAGTTGCACTGAGGGATTCAGAATATCTAAATAACTTGAAAACCAAGCCTTAAGGTGAAGGCAAACTGCGTCATCCACTCATGCTAATTGAAATATTCCAGTTGTTTCAATTTTAGTGCAGTTAATGTCACACTTGGGCAATGATGACTCAGCGGTCAATTTCTGCTGCCTTGAATATTTCACCGGTTATTATGCTAAAAATTTTGGCAATTATATAGGTAATGCAAACTGATGTTGCAGGCTGTCAGAGAATGGTAAAGTGCACATGTGCTTTATTTATGACATAATTGATCTCAGTTCCCTCAGCAGGTCATTGAGGCATGTTCCCATTTGGCTGACGTACCTTAATGCAGGACTTTCGATGGTTGGACTGTAAAACATTTCTGTCCTTTCTCAACTTGTACTTTAAGCTGCAAAGAGTAGCAAGGCTCTTTGAGGCCAGACAAAAACCACACAAATGTCTGATTCTCCAGCTATTCTCCTCATGTTATGTGAAATCATACTAACACACACAACCTTTTTCTTTTTACACTTGTTCAGCATGCTGTTGAAGCCTATTTTAGTAAACAGTCAGTTTGTATTTTAAATTCTGGCTATCCCATGTCAAGAGGTATGAATAGAAGAATCTTTAAGTGTAAAAACTAAGTTAGATGGGGCTCACAATCACTTTAAACTATTATGGCTTCCAGCTGTGTGGTTGCAATGAAATACCTGTTCAGTCTACTTCAATGTCCTTTTTATCCTAGTGTTAGCCCCTTCTGTGAATATACAAGTCAGCATTCTGCATCACCTAGCAAAATATATGGGGATAACGTACCTTAATAAAAGTATTGTTGTATATCGCACTTAGTAATATACCTTATCCCATGCAGGTCAATGGGCTCCTGGTTGCTCCCGAGGCCCTAGCTGACCTTGCTGGTGTTACCGCTGCCTTCAGGGTAATGAGCTTGGCATCTTCTAGTTTTCTCTGTTCTTTTTGGAGTGAACAATGATTTTTTTGTGTGTGTGCATGGGCTGTTTGACAGAGAAGACTGTATAAACAATATTAACTTTTTTCAACTTTTCTTTTGTGCACCAAAGTTAACATAACAATAGTACACTTTCTGGCACACTGGTGGCAAGTAATATAATGAAGTTTAACAAAAGGTACAAGATGAAGGTGGTACAGGCTTACGTGCCTACATCGAGCCATGATGATCATTTGGTCGAAGGCTTTTATGAAAACGTAGAGTCAGCCATTAATAAAGGAAAGACATAGTATACTATTCTTATGGGCGACCTTAATGCCAAAGTAGGCAAGAAACAGGCCGGAGACGATGCAGTGGGGGAATATGGCATCGGCTCTAGAAATGCCAGAGAATAGTTATTAGTAGAGTTCGCAGAACGCAATAATTTACGGATTATGAATACCTTCTTCAGAAAATGAGGTAATCGTAAGTGGACGTGGCGAAGTCCTAATGGCGAAACTAAAAATGAAATTGACTTCATTCTCTGTGCACACTCAGACATTGTACAGGATGTAGAAGTAGTAGGCAAGATTAGGTACAGTGACCATAGAATGGTAAGAGCTTGTATTCAGCTAGATCTTAAAAAGTAAAGACAAAAACTGATATGCAAGAGGCTGAATAATTAACCGGCAGTGGGAAAAAAAAATACAGGAATTCAGAGTTTTGCTTCAGAATCTATTTGAGACCCTAAATAATATAACTGACGTTAGCATTGACACAATGAACGATAATATTACTAGTGCTATCAAAGAGTGTGCTATTGAACTTGGAGGTCCAGTCACTAGACGGGAAACTGGCAAACTATCTCAGGAGACAAAAAAATCTTATTAAAAGGCGACAAATCATGAAAGTCTCAACTGCAACCGACAAAATATCGCTAGTGGAGCTTTCGATGTTATTCAAGAGGCGTAAAGTAGCCGACATCAGGAGGTATAACATGGAAAGAATAGGTGACCGGTAATATGGGCAATCACAGGGAACTGTAGGATATGACGGCTTCTGGTTCGATGCATCTCGCGAGTTAGCAGTGACACGCGTGCATTTTTGTACCGCTTCATTAAGAAAAACACCTCTCCATGCAATGTCAGTGCTTTAGAAGTTGTTTTTTTTGTTTTTGCTAACCGTAACTGTGACGATGACAAGCTACAAAAGCCATGAACGGTAAGAAAACTTTTTTGTCGTAATGAAATGATCTGCAATGCTTTTGCACTGCTCAGGGGTACTGTCAGTTTGGCTAGCAGATCAGTCAATACAGAAGACACTTTTCATTGTATGATATGTTACTGCACATGAAAAATCACCATTTTAAAGATCTCAGGGAATGGGGATGACTGTAGCAGTGTGCTAAGAATTCATTTCGGCATCGCTGCTTCGGTCGATCGGCATGAAGCGCAGCACTTATTGAGTGTGTTGAGACATCTTTTTTTTTTTTAGCCTTAGGCGCGCTATAAGATGCATTTCTTAGTCGAAGCTAGATGTGTATTTGAACGCTGATTTTGGTCAAGCTGCATGGCACGGTGACACATAAACACTACAGTCAGACATAGAAGGCACCGAATAATCGAAATGCGGCGCTTGTTTAACGCACTTCTTTGTTTGTGTGCCGTCCTGGGGCACAGTTTGACCAAGATAAACGCAAATGGACTCGTCCAGCGCTTCTTGTAAACTTACTCTTGAGTGAAGCTTTTGCGTTTTTTCTCATATATATGGGCGCAATGATGGATGCTCATCTAGTATAGAAGGTAGATTTCGCCTGCGCATTCCTAATATTGTTATAAGGTTTCGGCTGACGGTAACAGGGCGACATACCAAAGAAGGGCACCTCAGACTGGAAGTGATGAAGTTGATGTTGTTGCTGAGCTGTGTTGTGGGTGCGGACTGTCAACTGTTATTTTCACGTAACAATATCTTTGCTAGGCGCACCTGCGCGTCAAGTTATTTCTCGATATAATATTGACAGCAAATTCATGCGTAAGCTATTTATTACTGCGGAATACACACGTACCTGTGATAAAATGGTCTTCGCACACTCTGGCTTCAATGTTCGGTACTAAAAGGCTACCTGTTGCTGTGGCTCTCTTCACAGCTGTGGCCTACCTAATTCGTTTTCTTCACTCCATGGAAATTGATACCTGCGTTTGCCTCTCACGCTCTAATTGGAAGAGCCAACGGCTGAACAACCAAGCATAGTTTATCAGAAAAAAGATAAACGGGCGACCGCACGCGCAAATTCCGAATAATCTGAGGCTTACTCTCCGAATAATCGGAGAGTAAGCTGATTAGTCTGTAATTTTTTCAAGTCTTTGATGTCTCCTTTCTTATGAATTAAGATGATGTTGGCGTTCTTCCAAGATACTGGTACCATTCCCATCAAGAAACACTTTGTATATAAGGCGACTAATTTTTTTAACACATTTTCTCCGCCATCTTTCAGGAGGCCCATTGTTACGTTATCTTCACCAGCGGCTATGCCTCTTTGTATTCCTTCTAGGGCTTTCCTTACTTCTCTTGTCGTTACTGGTAGAATGTCGAATTCTTTTGGACTATTATAGTTTCTCCCAATATCATCCTGGTTCTTTTGGCGTCTGTACAACTCTTTGTAGAACTCCTTTGCCATCTCCACTACGCGATCCATATTAGTTATGACATTGCCTTCCTTGTTTCTCAATGCATACATTCGATTTTCGCCTATGCACAAGTCTGCCTTCGCAGATTTTAGGCTCCTGCCGCTTTTTACAGCCTGCTCAATAGGTGACCAGGTAAAGAGCGAGGGATTGTGGGATGCATCGTTCTCTGCCAGCTTTCGTTTCGAGAAGAGAGGCTATTGACCCTACACTTGAGCCTGTCAGCTACTTGGTTGTTGATAACCTTGGGCTTTGTCGCAAACGTACGGTAGGGCCTTCGCAGTGGGGCTGGTACCCATGTCAATGCGGTGACATGCAGCTGACATGCGTCTGAGAGAAGAATGCTTGCAGTCAAATCAAGAACAGAACTTGCGGAGAAGTTGTAGAAGCTGAGCGTGTTGTGAGACAGTTAACAGTGTCGGCGATAGAGCTGCTCAGTACGTCAGGCGTAGTAGTCTGCAGCGAAGAGGCGCAAGTGATTCCGGCGACCTCATGTTTGGTGGAAGGATCAGTCAGCATGTTGATGATTGTAGAAAGCTCGAGCCTGTAAACACACCCAATACACTTACCACGAAGCAGTGTGACAAGGTATAACAACAGGTTTGAGACAAACAGCCTGCTCACACCGTCATGAGTTTCCAAAAGAGTGTAAGGCAGTGACGAACGTTTGTGACGAATGAAAATGGCAGATGGTGCAAAAAGGGCACTTTACTCGGCGAGGGAGTTACTGGCCACCGTAGCAAGGGCAAATGAGTGCAGCGGTATGGTAACATCTTTTGCAACAAATTGTTTGTCCTCATTTTCAAGAGCATCAAACAACGCGGCGTCGCAAAGCACCTCAAATGCCACCTCAGCGTGTGAGCAGTCGATGACGGCTTTATTAGTGGAGAGAAACTCCTAACTTTGCAAAGGCCTGAATTGCTGGAGCAACCAGCAATTGGAGGTTCGCATACATTGTGAATTTCACCAAACTCTCCTTTGTTAATTTCTTTGCAATCCTTGAAAGAACGGGTAAACCATGAGCCGCTGATGTTTCTAGAGACATGCGGTATGCTGCCCGCATATCATCACTGTGCTGCAGCGAAGCATGTTTAGTTTCATGCAGGCACACGTTTCGGTTGTTCACAAGAAGTTTTTTTTTTTCGTTTTTTTTTTTTTCTGTAATTAGCACGGCTGAGGTGCTCCAGCTGCCCCTCATTGGTATGTTGCATTGCCATGTGACTATTAGGGGCCATGATTTTTGCAGATTTGGGGCAAAATCTGGATCTGGAACTGGTACATCGCACCCAAAGTTTGCTAATTAACCAGACTGGTGCCCGCCACCGCTTCAAATTATCCACTCAAACTTGCATTGAAAAATATGGGACCGCAAAAATCCGTCGAATTAAGTGGGATTTCGAAAAAACCGTTTTCGAATTAACAAGGTTTTACTGTACCTTGACTGATCGAACCGGGGATGGAGTCACAGTGGCACAGCTGATGGCAGTGACGCAAAGGTCTGCGGAGGTGGTCATGAAGCAGCTTCAGCATGGCTGAGAGGTGCATTTACCTCGGCACAGACAACCGGGGCCAGCAACAGTGAAGTGTAGTGAGTAGATGGCAGAGCCATACAAACTTGCTTTCTTATGACTTGGCGAATGTTTGCTGGCAGATGGGATGGTGATTGGCCAGCTGCAGAGAGCAGAGAAAGCTGAAAAGCTACCTCAACACATACCAACTCCTTGATCTGGAAGAGCAGTGATAGAAGGTCAGGGGTGGCAGTCAGGCTCGAGATGGTGTCTTCCGAAACGTTGGGGCAACACGTGAGAAGACGTTATCTTTGAAGCTCGTCAAAACTCTGACAAAGCTTGTTGAGCTCAGAAACAGGGGCAGGGTTCTTGGAGAGCAGCGATTAAAAGACGTCATCAAAAATTCCCTTCACAATGTGGCGTAGCTTGTCAGTTGCCGCCATCGTCAGGTTGACACGCTGGCAGAGGTCGATGATGTCCCCGATGGGTAGCTGGTGAATGTTTCATCGGCTTGTTGTGACTGACTTTGTAGTCGTTATTCTGCCTGAAGGGTGTGCACACTAGGGCATTAGAAAACAGCTGTGATGCTTGTTTTGAAGAATGCGCAAGTTGGAATATCAGCCTCATGACTTTTGTACCTCTGCTTGGCAACATCCGTTAAATGAAGCATGACGGTAGCGAGCTCCATGGTATCACCCCACTTGGTATTCCTCTTCGCTATATAACTGTTAACGGGGAGAAACATGATAGCTGGGCTCATTTGAAAGAGAAGTACTTTGTTGTTATTTGTTGCAAGGGT